TCTTCCCTCTATTACTAGGATAACATAATTAATTTTTACGTGGACCTGAGAATTATTAGGTTGTCCAATTAAGAAGTGTTATTTGCTTGAAAAATCTGAGTTAAGTCCATTGGGAAAACCTGTAAGGGAGGTACAGGTTTCAGACTCACTGGAATAGGTAATCTCAACACAGTCTGATTTCTGCTAAGGACCTGTCCGTGCCTAGCCCTCATTCCTAACCCTCTGCCTCCTTTCACATTTTTATTCAAGTGCCATTGTGTCCCAGGACAAGAAGGCACAGATGCAGTCACATGGGCTGTGGAAGAATTTTGTGACATAGTGGAATTATGTGAGTCAGTACCCGATTAGAGGAACACAATCTTGCAATCTTTTCTAGTTCAAGGGGGTGGAAGTACAACTTTCTCCCTTCTGGCTACCTTTCCAAGTGCTCGCCAATAGCCTTAGGGTAGTTAACTAATGTGCTGTATCCTGGGAATGGCTTTAATAATTGCTATAAGACTTATCCCCTATGGCCAAACCTGTAGTTTGATGAACTATTGAAGACAGAATACCTTAAAAGAGACCTATCCTGATTATATTGGCCTCATATTTTGACATATATTCCCCTCTATTCTGCAACCCACTGACACTGATATATTGCCTTCCAAAAGCTAAAAAAAAGGAATATCAGCTACTGTATTAAATATATCAGTTGGAAAATATTGTAATGCTCTCATATTTTTCTAAAAACCAGCAAAAGAGTAAACTACGAAAGAAGTGATTCAAAAATGTCTTTTAATAAAAGTTTAAAGTCTTCAAAATATATTTTCCCCTGGAGCAAACTTTTTTCATTTAATATTGTGTCTGTTAATTAGTGCTTCAAATTTGCAAATTCTTTATTGGTTTATATCAATGTAATACCCAAAGCTCATCTCATTGCCAGATTTGAATGAAATATGATCCTGTTTATTCTATTAAAATGAAGGCTTGAAATTGTTACCCAACTGCCACAGGAATTCTTGCCATTTTCTCATCAAATTCCTCATCAGATTTTTTGTTAAAGTCACATTGTTTTAGATTTTGTGCCTTGGCATTTAAATGAAATTCAATGTGCCCCACTGGAGGAAACATCTGTAGGGACATATTATGTACAATATCCATTCCAATCAAGCAGGAGTGTACTGAGGGCCTGAATGAGGAGCTTATTCTTGCTTCCCTCTCCTCTGATGTGGCTATTGAGTAGATCTATAAGAGAGGGAACATTTATAAAAATTAAACCAGCAGTAGAACACAGTATTTTAAATGCTCAAATCAAGTACTTTTTAAAGGCACAATGTCAGTTCCAGTGAACAGATTCCTGCCTCTTTCTTTTCATGTAAGTGGCTACACACACACACACACACACACAAATATATTTATTCATTGCATCTGATCTGGACTTAAGCAGTTTGGAGAGTGGTTAGATTATGATGATTTCAAGGTCCATGTGCCCCCAAAAGCTCCTGTTTATTTGAGTTTCACAACCTCCCATATACCTCAACAGAGTCGACTCTTAGTTCAATATGTTCTATGTAAACTTTTGTAATTGCTGTCTGACACAAGGCACCTACAACTAGTGCCATGGCCAAATGGCCCAATTCCAGGCCCATGTATAGATCCACACATCAATGGGGATCTTCAAAAAGAATCTTTTACTTTTAAGTTAGAAAGATGAAAATTTATTACTTCAATAATCTAAATTATTCTTCCAGATGGTAAAGTGTCCACCTGAGACTCTTCTAAAATGGAGATAATTATTATACTGACCTTATATGACTTTAAGATATGTGGGGATTAAAAGACGTATATGTGCAAGGCACTTAAGACATGGCACATGATAAGTGTCCAGTATACATTCATTTTAATTATTGTCAGTGATGGCTTCCTAGAGAGGGTGAGATTTGAATCACATAAGAGGAAAGGTTTGCACAATGGTGTGGATGTCGGGTTGCAGAAAGTATACAGAAAGAGAGTGACAAGACTAGCTTGGATGTTGCTGAAGGCTCATGGGTATTGTCAACATTAAGTAATCAGAGAGCCTTCTAATGGATAAGCCACCAAACAGCCTACAAAGAAAGCCATACAGTTTCAGCTTAGACAATGCTCTCTTAGGTATGTTGCACATAAAAGAGAAATTTCATCTCAAGGTACTTCCATGTATAATTAAGTAACTAAACACTGTATAGTAAGCAAGATGAACTATTTCACATTCTCCTGTCAAAATGCACTTAGATTACTGTTGGAAGAGAGAATTGCTTCTAAATGAAATAACACACTCTTCCGACACCTACCAAAATGAGCTATTCTCTCATAGCTTCCCTGCTTTAGTCTCAGCTTACCTCTGATATAGTTATGATGAATATCATGGCATAAACATTGAATTATACCTTTATAAGAATGAGGCCCATTATGTAACATATTTTAAAATGTAAATTATTTCTAATTTTTTCCTTGCTTTCAAATTTAAGAACTGATTTTGTATTGCTGGCTTTCTTTCAATTAGCTAAATATCTATGCTAGTTAAAGTTGGGTTCTATCAAATGATACTGATTTTCTTACACTAGGACCCTTTAGGGTCCTTAATGTTAGCATTTTAAATCTCAAGAGGAAGCTTTCTACTTATTTGGCTTGAAACCCCTATTATAAATAAAGAGCCCAAACTTTGGCTTTGTTGGATGTACTTTGGGACATGATGTTCAGCCTTGCAACCGTAGAGTTGAAGGGCTATGCATGTAACAGTAATGGATGCTAGTACAGATTAGAGATGAACAATACATTTAAAAATACATCCATTTTAAAGGAGTGGGAGTACAATACTTTGCTTCACATGGTTTCTCATCCAATAAAATGGAAATGTTTCTACTAGATCCCCTTAGATGTAAGAACATATCTTATTCAATGTTGGGACCTAGATAGCAGACGCGGTTCCTCTTTTCACAGGGAACACTACATGTACAGGTTGTGAATGTCCCGGAACCATGTACTCTACCATACTCCAGGTTTGTCTATGGGACAGTTTTGCTGTCCGGTGTTGTTGAGACGGCGCTCTGACTCTTAGGGATCTTAAACACAGCAGAATGACACACTGCCAGGTCCTGTGCCGTCTTCACAGTTGTCGCTGTGCTTGGCTCCATTGTTGCAGCCTTTGTGTCTACTGGGCTGATTGCGGGGTTTCCTCTCTTTCATTGATCCATCACTACCACGTGCATCCCTATCCCCCTCCAGGGACTGATTACTCCTGATAATATAGCCAAAGTATGAGAAAAGTGTCACCAACCGTGCTTCTAAGGAGCATTCTGGTATACTTTCTAAAAGACAGATCTGTCCATTCTTCTCACAATCTACGGCATATGCAATATTTTTTGCCGGTACCATCATTCAATTGCATCGGTTCTCCATTGGATTTTATTTCATTGTCCAGCTTTCCCATATATATGGGGCTATTAAAATACTACAGCTTGAGTCAGGTGCATATTAGTCCACAAAGTGACAATGTGCTTTTTAAAACGTTGAAGAGGTATTTTGCAGCAGATCTTCAAAAGCAGCACATCATTTGATCTCTTCACTGTTAATTTCATGGGTGTTGATTGTGGATTCAAGTAAATGAAATCCTTGACAACATCAATATTTTCGTTGTTTATTATGGTGCTACTTATTGGTTAAAAGGAAAAAAAGCTCTAGTGGCCAAGTGGTTGTGTGTTAGGCTGTGATCTGAAAGTTTAACAGTTTGAAACCACCCCGCTTCTCCGCTGGAGAAAGATGAGCCTTTCTACTCCTGTGAATAAATAGTTCCAGAAACCCATGGCCATGAGGAATTTTGTTTTCTCTATGTTGAGGGGGATTCCATATTAAATATGGCTGTAGCCTTCAATCTTCATCAGTATGTGCTCCAAGTTGTTTTTTCTAGCTGCAAGCAAAATGTATCATCAGCATATTTCACATCGTTAATGAGTATCCCTGCAACCCTGATGCCTTATTTTTCTTAATATAATGTGATTTCTTTGGTTATTTGCTTAGCATACAGTTTAAAAAGTAGAGTAAAAAGATATAACTCTGTCACACACCTGTCCTGATTTAAGCCTGCTTTAAGGACTGTCTGTTGGTCTATGTATGTACAGGTTTCCCATTACATACTATGAAGTTCTATTTTTTGAAATGTTATCCATACTTGATAAGATCCACACAATTTAATGAATTTGCATAGTCATCAAGACATGGCTAACCATCTTTCTGGTAGACTCTACTTTCAATCAAGATCCATCTTATGTCAATAATGACTCCTGTGTTCCACAACCTCTCCTGAAAATCACTAAATATCAGGTAGTTCCCACTTGAGGTACTGCTGCAACAATTTTTAAATTAAAGATTTACTTTTTACTTATATTAATGATTTAATTGCATCATTTTTACATCTTTGGTTTTCTCTGCTTTGAAATGAACACAAATGTTGATCTCTTCCAGTCTACCAATTTTTTTTGGCATAGACAGTGAGTACCTCTAACATTGCATCCATTTGCTGGAACATGACAATTAGAATTCCACCAATTCCTGGAGTCTTGTTTTTGGGTCAATGACTCCAGTGTATCTTGGAATTAAATGCGTGTGTGTTTTAACTATCAATTCTAGATCTTCTGTTAACTCCTGGAATGATGGAAATAAGGATGGAGGGGAGGAGAAGAGAGTCTTTGATAGCCTGATATACACTTCTGGACTTTGGCTATACCTGAAACCTATATATTGCAGACTTTCAAGTTATGCAAATACTTGATTTTTCCTTCTATGCTTAAATTACTTTGGATTGTGTTTCCCACTTATAACTGAAAACATCAGTTACAGGTGACAGATTCTAAATTATAGAATTGGTTAAGTAGAGACACGATTCAGCATGTTAAGATTCTCCCATCCATGACTAATGTAAGTGTGGCAGACTGGGAGTTGACTACCCAATTTGTTGCTCTCCTTCTTCTTTTTTTTTATTTTTTATATTTCAGTTTATTCTTCATTTAACTTTAAAACACTACTATAGTTGAATATTAAAACAAAAACCATAGCAAGTAGTGAGCATATTATGATTACAGTCCTTCACTTGTTCACTACTGCATATAAAATGCCAGCAGTGAGCGATATTTACTGGCCCCCATTAAGAGGTCTGACACTGGACCCCACCTCTGGGGGGTGGTCATCATCCTCATATGCTTCTCCATTGTAATGGCGCCGTCTTTCCTGGTTGGGATCAAAGTCCACCAGTTCCACTTGATCCATTTCATCAGTCTCTTCTACTTCCTTCTGCTCAGGCAGGAGTTTTTCCAGCAGAGAGAGTTTATCAGGAGAGAGAAAGCCATTCTCAGGGAAGTTCACCTTAAATTCAATGATTAGGCGCCCCTTTTCATAAGGTCTGCGATAAATTGGCATGCCTTCATTTAGCACACATTGAATATCTTCATGCTTCACAATCTGACCTGGATGAGAAGTGATGACTATGGTTCCGTTGTCAAGAGTAGATATTGGCTTTTGGAAGCCACACAGCGCTTCAACCAGCTGTATGTCCATACACATGAAAAGGTCTTCTCCTCGCCTGGTAAAAACAGCATGGTCCTTCTGATCTAAAACAATAATAATATCTCCTGGCTCCAGGCCAGGCTCTTGGTCTCCTTCACCGTGGAATGTGATCTTCTGGCCGTCTTTCATGCCTTTGTCAATATGAACTTCTAGAAGCTTCTTCTCACGAATGATCTTCCTTCCATTGCAACTTTTACATCTGTCTTTAGGGCTGATCCGTTCCCCCTGGCCCTGGCACTCCATGCACACAGACTGAATTTGCTGCACCATTCCAGGCCCTATCTGATGGATTCGTAGCTGCATCTCCGTACCACGGCAGTTAGGACAGCACTCTACGGCTCCTTTCTTACCGCCTCGGCCTTCACATTTGTCACAAATCACATTCTTTTGCAGGGCCAGTTTTCTTGTTGCACCATTATACAAATCTTCTAATGTTACTGAGAGTTGGTGCACCACGTTTTTTCCTCTCCTTTCTCTCTGCATCCGTCCGCCGCCTCCAAAGAACATATCAAAGATGTCCATCGGGGAACCAAATCCACCGCCTGATCCACCCTCCTTGATGGCCTGCTCGCCTCCTTTGTCATACAGTTCTCTTTTCTTGGCATCAGAAAGCACCTCATATGCTTGAGAAATCTGTTTAAACTTCTCGCCTTCATTTGGATTCTTATCAGGATGGTACTTCAAGGCCAGTTTCCGGTAAGCTTTTTTCAGCTCTTCCTGGGTGGCACTGGGTTTGACCCCCAAAACATCATAGTGCGTGGTTTCTTTCACCATTTTCTACAACCAATGAGCGGGCCGAGCCGGGGCGCGGGCGCGGGGAGAAGCGGGTCCCTGTGCGCAGTCAGGTGCTCTGCCGCCTCTCCCAGAGCGTTCTGGAAAGTTCCGCTCTCCTTCTTTATTACTTTCATAATCCAACTTATTTTTCCAGGTGTCCAAGTGCCGGGGTAAAAAACAAACAAACAAACAAACAAACAAACAAACAAAGCCATTTCCCATACTCTTAGGCAATTAGGATGGTAATCTGAGGCAGTTTTGGATAATGAGTTCTAAACAATGTCTTGGAATAGGACTTTCAAGAAAGTTCCTTAGGTAACAGTCAGGCTAAATTGGCTTTACATTGTTCTTCTTCCTTCCTCTTGTCTGCAATGAGGGCAAAATGTCTGTGACCATGTCCACAGGGCCCTATGCCTCAAGCATGGTAAAGAGAGAGAAGAAAGCTATTACATTGATGACCTTATGGTAGTTGAGTTGTAGTGAATTACTATGGACCTTCTAGCCATAATTCCTTATGTGATGCATTATTGGTCTGGACTCTACATCTGTGACTATAACCACCTTTTGGAGGGTGCTCTTTGTTTTACTAACTAGGGTTAGGGTAGGAGTAAGACTTGATTTTAGAGAGTGTGAACCAAGGAATACCTTTTCCTTGAGGGCATCTTTAGACTTTACCTCAGTAGAGGGTGTGACTCAAAACACCATCTTTCATTTTTCTTGGCATTATGATCAGCTAAAGACAAATGACACTTTAATAAAAACAATTTAAAAATGTATGAACATTATCTGGGACATAGAGGGAAGCCACAGGAAGAGTTGAAAGAGCACAATTGTGGTAATAATTTATTTCAGAAGAATTAATGCTGGACTCATCCCAAGGAGTTGGAGATTAAGGCGGTCCCATTGGGAACAAAAGGTGTGGGCTTGGTTCACACCGTCTACTAAGGTGGGATCTTAATCCCACCTTATTCCTGTCCATTAATATAGTAGAGAATGCCCTCCAAAAGTGGGGCTACAGCCATGGGAATATATAGTCTCACTCACTTCCATCAAGTCAATACTGACTCATGGCGAGCCTGAGTCTAGCATTATAATATATCACAAGAAGGGATTATGACTAGAAGGTCCATATTAATTGACTATACAGCTCAATGTCCAAGATCTCTGTCAGATGTGCCAGAAGCCACCGAGACAAGATTCACCAGAGACTGGGGCATAGAGGCTCAGAGGAGTGGCACGTCGACTATGGAATTCTTTATCCTCATCTGGATAAGTTTATGAAACTGTGGGACAGAGCTCTAGGTAGGATGGCTTTCTGTCAAATGGAGGCAAAGGCCGAGGGACCAAGTGGCTGAGTGACTAAAGACTAGGGAGGGATTTGGCTTCTGCTTGAGGAGAGGTGTTGTTGTGGGCCAATGATAGTATCTTTACTTTACTATTTGCTGATCATGAATTATAGTAACCTATTGATTTCTCTAATAACCCCCCTTAATGGTGAGTATTGTCTAGAGTTCAGTGTGGCCACTGCAATGAATTCTTGAACCCTCCACCGAAGTTGAGTGGCTTGGTAGGAATGGTTGCTGTCAGAAGAAAGAAAGAAGCATGGAGTGTGGAGGCATGTTTGACCCCAGGCTTGTGGCAATAGAGAAGCCAGAGGAGGTCAGATATGTCTGTCTCCGTTACTGTTGACTCAAGTACTGCCATACAAGCTCGGGATCTCCGGATCCCATCCATGGGCTCTTGTATAAAAGCACAAACCTTTATTTGATTACCCAGAAATTAAATGTTCTGTTATATGTACCTGAAAGTACTTTCAAATTGACTCAGCAAGACAGCTGTTTATGCTATTGCCAGTGTGTCTTGGAACTCCATGGAATGGTCTATCCAGCCTGCAGCATTATAGGGAGGATGTATAGAAAATGTAGTGATGTGAGAAGATGATAATTTCTTATAGTCTTTTGTTTGTCTCCTGAGAAAGAGGAGCTGGTTGCCATAGACCCTGTAGCAACAAAAGTTGTGTCACGTAATGATGCAGTAATGCCATTCACAAAATGGCAGCCTGCCATGAACTTTAGTTGGTTGAAGAATGAGTATTAAAGGCAAATTTGGGGCGTTAGGAAATTTTAATTTATTTAATCCTGCAAGTAGGTTATTTTGAAATGTTAGATGGATTAATTAACGTGATAATAATACTGTTCAACTGTATGTTATCCTCACAATTGAGTGTGTTTAGTACAATTTTAACTCTTATTTCTATGACTTGTCTTTGATTGGTAGGATAATTATGTTCTAAAAATCTATCCATGGTGTATTGTGGAAATACATGTACCCTGAAGGGAAAATCCCTGGATTTGAACCTTTGCCATTCATTAGCTATTTAATCTTAGGCAAATTACTAAATCTCTCTGCATCTTGGTCTCCTCCTATGCAAAGTGAGGGTGATAACAATAATGATACCTCATGGAGTAGTTATAAGGATTAAAAATGTTAGCACATATAAAGCACTTGTAACTGTGTCTGATTTTAGTAAGCACTATTAGCTGTTTTTTAGGGTAATAGTTAAAATGTTTTAAAAAATTTTAATTTAAGAGAAAACTTATTTTACAAAGTTAAATGGTTTTATACTAGGAGAACCGAATGAGAACTTTTTTCAAGGGAAAGACACACGCCCAGAAAGACTGTCTCTGTTTCAGCTGGCCATTTTATTTCATGGCATATTACTTTAATCTCTTTTCTAGATAAAAGAGTGTGGAAAGTTTACTGTCCACAGGAAATGCTCCCCTATTAAAGAGAGAACCTCAATCTTCCTTCAATAGGTGCATGGTATATAATCACCTACAGGATGTGCAAGAATCCCCGGTGGCACAGTGGTTAAGCTCTCCATTGAAAACCAAAAGGTTGGTAATTCGAACCCACCACCTGCTTTGGGAGAGAAATGCAGCAATCTGCTTCCATAAAGCGTTGGAAACCCCGAGAAGCAGTTTTACTGCATCCTACAGGTGTGTTACAAGGATTGACCCTAGTGGGCAGAATGGCAACGAGTGTAGGATGTGCATGGAAGAGAATGGCTAGCCTTTGCTGCCAGAGCTGACCATTTGCAGGTGAAGGCACATCGTAGGTGAGAAGTGAGCATATGGTGCAAGTCGCTAATTCACTCAATGCTACCTGAATGAGTGAAGCTCTAGGTCTACCCAGAGGCACGTTGGAAGAATGGTTTGTTGATCCGTTCCTGAAAGAAATCATCCATGAAACACAGTTCCACAAAGAATGACAAGAGTTGGAGTCTGCTCAATGGTAACTAGTTTGCATGAGAAACACTTCCAGACTACACGACACTCCCTGGCTGAAGTGCACCGCAGGCTGGAACAGGTCAGACATGAAAGGCATTCTGTTCTTTTTCGGCTTTTCGGCTTCTTATCCCTCTTCCTCGTTTTTGCTCGTGCTCCCTTAAAGTTGTCTTAAAATTAAATCTAGTTTCCTTCTGCCCTGTATAGCCTGTAGTTATGGGTGTTCAGAATTTTGGGAGCTCTATTAAGGATTGCCTCCTTTTCAAAAAATCTAATAATGATGATTCACCTAGTCAATAACATATCTGACATGCATCAGTGAGATTAAGTGACCACTGAACCTAGACTCCCTTTAGACCAGAGCTCCAATGTTTCCTACATTGATGTTTTTGGCTGTCAATGACTCATGACCCCATAAACAATGGAACAAAAGTTTGCTCAACCCTGTGTTATACCAATAACCAGTTATAGATACAATAATTGTGTTCCATTGGATTTTCATGGATGGATTTAGGAAGCAGGCTGTAGAGTTTTATTCCGGTTTCATTTTAGTCTGGGAGTTCATTTGAAGCCTGATGATCAGCATTTTTTCATAACACATAAGCCTCCACTTGTACATGAGATACACTGGCCAGGGATTGATCTCCTGCATTAAAAGCTGGTAATTCTACCACTCAACCATCGGTCCTAGTATTATTTATGTACCCTCCTCTTTGTTGCCTGTCTATTTTTTGCCTGACAATTTTTGCTATTTTTCAGGGGGGGAAAATATCCAATAGACCCTAAATGTTGATCTCTAATACATGCAGCTAATGTTTATTAAAAAAAACAAACACGAACCCACCACCACTGAGTGGGTTCTGACTCATAGCAACCCCACCTAGAGTTCCTGGGCTGTAAATCTTGGCAGGACCTGAGAGACTCACTTTTCTCCCAAGAAGAGGTTGCAGGGTTTGCATGCTGACCTTGCTCTTAGTGAGTCTACACTTCGGCTGCCTCACTAGGGCTCCTATAATGTTGACCAGGAATTAGTAATCATAATGATAGCTAAGGACATAATTAAATATACATGCATACATAGAGGTGCACAATCCCATCAGTGGGATTAACATTCACTCTGTCTTTGACACTGTGGTGGCAGTACAGACAGTGGCCTGTACTATTCTGCATTCGGTTAGTCTCACAAATTATGTCTCTGAATAGACAGCTCCCAGCTCTGGGCTGGGCATTGTCAGGGTTGAGCCACATGAAATATTTGCCATAGGTTTCCTTCTGAGGGAATAGGTATTGAGGAAAATAATTGTAAACTTTGAGTGAATAAAAAATTAAGTATTTTTTTACTTTTTTTTTTACAGGTAAGTATTATAAGGAGCAAAGCTCAAAGAGTTAAGTGCTTTTTATGGTGAGAGTGAGGTACTATTTCTCTTGCTGACTCGCAGGAGATCCTGGCTTTGATCATTTGTCTCTCATCTGTTCTTGATGAGGATTCTGTGTGTGATGCTAGTTTCAAAGTATTTCCACCTTCAGAGATTTCTGACATTAGAGACCAAAGACTGTCTCCCTCCTTCTCCCGCATCAAGGAAACATAGGTTCTGGAATGTTCTTAGGAATAGTTTCTCTCAGATTAAAAATATTTCCTGATTTATTGTCCCTAGGAAAAAAATAGATTTAGCAGCATCCACAAATGCACACGCGTTGATGATAAATACTATTACAGCCGCTGAAACTAAGCTGTGAAAACTAAGCTGTGCTTGGTCTGGACTTTTTCTTTTT